AGATTCACTTGTTTCTCCTCGTGTGCAGGTCCAACGGGCTGTCAGTGCCCTCAATCTCACAAGATCCATCATTTCTGTAACCGTAAATTTTTACCATCTACATAATACATATGATCATAGCTTTTCAAGTATAAAATTTCATGCTAATGTCGTTCCCATGATGGAGAAAGACCATGGAATTTCTTATTAAAAGACGTGCCCCCTGTTTTGCCCTGATTCCATGCAACATTAAAAAAAAGGCTTACCAAAAAGAAGCTGTGATTGCGAAACAATAATGATGGTAGAAGATTATAAATAATTAAGAGGGATAAGCTTGAATTCAATATGAAATAACAGTAAGTCCTTATTTTTCAATTAAAAAGACACATCATTGGATTTAAATAAAAACTCATCTACTCCTACATGTTATGAACTAATTCATAGTAAACTATATGATTGTAAACGAAGATAATAATACTACCAAGAGTCTTCTTCACTTATAAAGAAATACACAAAGTTAAAACAAAATAAAATCACAAATTAAAAGATACGTGGAAACATATGATTCATGAATGAGGAGTGGTAGAGATATTTCACAGAAATATCATACCACCATATAAATGACTAATTTCGACTCATTAATTAGCGGGGGAAAAGCAACAAATGTTGCCTAAATTATTGATAAAGAACAAGGGAATTTCTTAGAAAGATATAGATTAGTTGCCTTAATAATAATGCACATAATATTCATTAAAGGTGTTTTTGGTTGGGGGTAATTTCTCATTACAGGGGCAATGTCATCTTATATTACTTGATTACCACGTTTAATTGTCAATTACTATGGCTTCGTTTGGTTCACAATTGGGTGTTTTTGGGAAAAGTTTTCTGAAAAAAGTTAAAAAAAAGTTGAATTGGGCGGGTATTACGATGTAGGATTTATAAATTAANGGAAACATTTTGATATGAAAGATTTAGGACAAGCTAGGAAGATTTTGGGTATGAACATTGAGAGAAATAGGAAAACAGGAAGCCTCATACTGTCACAGAAAAAATATGCTGAAAAACTAATCAAGAAGTTTAACATGATTGACTCTAAGCCTGTTAAAACACCTTTAGGTCAACATTTTAAGCTTAGTGTAACCCAGTGTCCAGAAACTGAAGAAGATAAGGAAGAAATGGCTTGTATACCATATGCCAATGCCATAGGAAGTCTGATGTATTTAATGGTTTGCACCAGACCAGATTTAGCCTTTACTGTCAGTGCAGTTAGTAGGTTTATGAGTAATCCTGGAAAACATCATTGGGAAACAGTTAAATGGATCCTTAGGTATGTGAAGGGTACTCTGTCCACTGGCATAGTTTACAGTAGGGTAAAAATTTAGGAAAACCCCATCATGGGATGTGTAGATGCTGATTATGCTGGAAACATTGATAATAGGAAGTCCATGACTGGTTTTTGTTTTACTATTTGGAATAACCTGGTTTGCTGAAAAGCTAATCTGTAGGCTATTGTAACACTGTCCACTACCGAAGCAGAGTACGTTGCAATTACAGAAGCAGTCAAAGAGGCCATGTGGCTCAAGGGAATGCTGATTGAAATGGGACTGGTCCAGCAACAAGTTCCTATTAAAAGTGACAGTCAGAGTGCCATTTTTCTGTGTAAAAATTAGGTATTTCATGAGAGGTCGAAACACATAGATGTTAGACTTCATTTTATAAGAAACTTGATAGAAGACAAAATTATCAAGGTAGAGAAAATTCCTGGTAAGGAGAACCCAGCAGACATGTTCACCAAGACAGTAACCTTAGACAAGTTAATGATCTTTAAGAGCCTTTTGCATGTTGAAGAGAATTAAGAAGAATTTTCAGGGGCAACTAGAAAGGGAGAAGATCAAATGCCAAGGTGGAGATTTGTTGTGATGTGGCATTCTGATGACACACGTGGAAGTCAACTTGGAGTTGGCTGGTCAAAAGTAATTTGTTAAGACTTGAGGGNTTTCGTTCCCATGATGGAGAATTTCTTAATATATATGATGATAGCTTTTCAAGTATAAAATTTCATGCTAATTTCGTTCCCATGATGGAGAATTTCTTATTAAAAGACATGCCCCCTGTTTTGCCCTGATTCCACGCAACATTACAAAAACAGGCTTACCAAAAAGAAGCTTTGATTGTGAAACAATAATGATGGTAGAAGATTAGAAATAATTAAGAGGGATAAGCTAGAATTCAATATGAAATAACAGTAAGTCCTTATTTTTCAATTAAAAAGACACATCAATGGATTTAAATAAAAACTCATCTACTCCTACATGTTATGAACTAATTCATAGTAAACTATATGATTGTAAAAGAAGATAATAATACTACTGTTGTGATGTGGCATTCTGATGACACACGTGGAAGTCAACTTGGAGTTGGCTGGTCAAAAGTAATTTGTTAAGACTTGATGGGCAGTTCAGTCTTTTCCCTATGTTCTAAAACCTAAATCCGTTTTAGGTTTTGTGCGCAGCTCACTTCTCTCATTTGTTAATAGAGAGAGAAATGGTTAGAGGTGCTGTGCTGGAAATCCAAGGTTCGTCCATGGAATCAACGGTGATGGTAGGTGTGAACTGTCCTTATTGTGTAGTCTTCCTTTTCTATGTATAAATATGTACTGATTTCTGCCTATTTGATTATGTATGAGTGGTGAGAACATCTGGGTATACGGGTGTAAAATCAGAGGGTTTTGTATCGGGGTGATGCCTTGGTGTAAAGGGGTGAGCCGATTCTTCTGTAAGGTTTCTCAAACTCATAGTGAAGTTATTTTTCTGGTTGCTCTGAAGAGTGGATGTAGGTAATCTTTCAGATTACCGAACCACTATAAATCTGATGTTATTCTTCTTATTTTTGCTTTACTGTATAATTGTTCTCTTTTGTGCTTGTTTGGTTGAATGAACACTTCTGGGCTACTGCATTATTACACTTGTTTTGAGTCTTATTTACAACAACTACCAAGAGTCTTCTTCACTTATAGAGAAATATACGAGTTAGAACAAAATAAAATCACAAATTAAAAGATTTGTGGAAACATATGATTCATGAATGAGGAGTGGTAGAGAAATTTCACAAAAATATCATACCACCATATAAATGACTAATTTTGACTCATTAATTAGTGGGGGAAAGCAACAAATTTTGCCTAAATTATTGATAAAGAACAAGGGAATTTCTTAGAAAGATATCAGATTAGTTGCCTTAATAATAATGCACATAATTAAACAATATCAAATTATTAATAAAGTAGAATCTTAATATTCATTAAAGGTGTGTTTGGCTGGGGGTAATCTCCCATTACAGGGGCAATATCATCTTATATTACTTGATTACCACGTTTAATTGTCAATTCAATAAGATTCCGATAATCTTCCAAAAGCAATAATAATTATTGTTGGTAATATATGAGGTAATCTGATTACCTCCATTTTTTAGGTATTTTAAGATTACTTAGTAATATTATTTTTGTTACAATTTTACCCCTAACTATTAAAATTTTTCGACAATAACGCCCTTTTAAAAAAAAAAAAACAATTGACAAAAATACTATGGACTATTTTATCCTTATATACAAAATTTTTAGGACCTAAATACCCTTAGACTATAAAAAAATTACCCAAGGGTGGTAGTTGGATCTGGCCACCACTGTTAGATGCGAGCGCCAGAACAGTGCACGACAAGCTGAATCTGGCAGATCGTGCATCGATCTGGCCGTTTTTGGCCTAGCTTCTAGCCTTTAACGACACCCAGATCTACAGCTTCTGGCCTTTAACAACAGTTAGATTTCTCGTTGTCATTAACAACCAGACAGCCAGATAGATCTGATCGCTATTAACGACCAGAACTCTAATCGCTAACGACGGCCAAATCTCTAGCCGTAGATCTTGTCATTTCCAACTAAGTTTAACTTGACTAACTATTAGTTGGATTCTCTTTTAAATTCATAAAAAACAAATGTAATTGTTTATTTTTATCTTCTTCAATAACTAGTAATCAAGCTTTAGTGAAGCAAGATTAGTGGAGTCTCCTCAATTTCAGAATTAAAAAAAAAAAAAACGTAAAATGTTGTAGGCCATATGGTCACGCCTATGCATCTCGTGGAATCAATTCCCGGCTTTTAATTCTAGGAAAACATGAAGATACACTTGAAACCATGTTTACTGTTAGAAGTGTATTGAACATAAATAGATACATATTCGAATATGAATCAATATGGAATACTTATGATTCCATGTTTACATTATAAAATGAAATATTGAGGGAATGAAATCAAATGTGTGGTATGTAGACAAAAATACCTCACTATTAAAATTATATGTCAAATAACAACAAAACTAATTAGATAAATAATACTTTCACTGAATTGGGTTGTGAACAGCCTATTGTTTACATTTCACTGAATTGGGTGTCATGTGATTTTTCCTGAAGCACTCCTGTAATTTGAATTCAGTACTTAATTTTTTTTTTTCATCAAATTCTAATAGCTAATACAATTTTCAGTTTACAACTATATATGTGACAGAATTTCTTTGACTTAACAAAAATAAAATTTAAAATAGGCAGAACACAAACAAAACTTGAGTCTTCCTAGTTTAGTGGGTTGAACAAACTGGTCCGTATTGCCAAAATGACCCATGGACTGTGCTGGCCAGAACCTTATTTAGACTGGGATCATTGGTCGTGCAGCTAGATACATATTTGGCAAGCTCAGATCGTAATTTACCCTAGTTAATTGGGTTTAGCTTTGCTCTGTCATCAAGAAACCTGCTATGTTATGACAGGATGGATAAATATAATTCATATCATAAGCTTCTCAATTCAAGCAAGCAACCTGGAATTTCTTTGCAGGAATTCAGCTTTTTTCCTGAAGCTGCAATTTGAGAAAGATTAGGTGAATATGGAAAGATACATGACCAATTGGTATTCCAATATGCTTTCATTGACAGTAGGCAAAGGCTCATATACATTTCATGGACTAATTTTTATTTTTGTATGATTTCGTTACTCTAATCGAACTTCATACCATTGGATTGAACCAATATCTCCATCGAGTTCAAGTTCACAGACAGAACTTACTAGGAAAGAAACAGCCTCATCAATAGTTGGAAATCTTGCAAGGTCACGCGGCAAGGCCTTTCCTGGCCAGTTTTCTAACAAATCTTTCAATTTCGCTTTCAACTCATCTTCTGATACAAACTTCTCATCTTGGCCAGGCTCAAGCAGCACATAAGTTTCAGTTCGTGAATATGCCATTCTCCTCTTCCTTGTTGCAAAAATCTGACCACAGAAACAACTAATCAAAATATTGAAAATGACATATAAATGGTAATTTGATTAAGATGAAATCTCAATGCTATTTACACATGACCAGAAAAACAGAAGTAAAAATTTATATTTAACTTGAACTCAGGTGCACAAAAATGACCATTTTCTGCAGAATACGACATAAAATCAACCAGAAAATGTTAATTACCTGTACTTCATTGTTTCGCGGGCTCGCCATTTTGGGCAGTTTGGAATTTAATGAAGAATTCAAATTCTCAGTTACCCCAAGAGAACATGCTTGAACAAATGGTGCAAGAGTATGCTGTCTTGATTCATTTATACCTGCAAAGAAGTGACTGTAACATTAGGAAACTTAATACATTTGCCTAACTCAATATATATAGGATTAGGATTATGCTAACTGTATAAAATAGCTCCAATTTGGCTGATAAGTCTCGAGGGAAAATTAAAATATTCTATAGTCTAAGTTGTTTTCTCACAATCAAATGGAAATAACAAAACAGTGATTATATATTCTGTATACTTTAAATAAGAAGATAAGATGAATCTTTTTCTCGAAGTACTTAAACTAGCCAGAATCCACCTAATTATATTCTGTTGAATCCATTAATTTCTTTCTCTTTCAGAATTCATTAATTTCCAAACATTATGCTAAGAGATTATATCAGTCTATTAACTCTATCCATATTCAAGACATCACAGAACTCAACTCAATTTAGTGTATCTTATTCTGGAATGCATTATAAGTGGCTAATAGACATAGAAAGGCCTCATCAAAACCAAAAAAAATTAAGCAAATTTTAATTCAATTTACAGTCAATGCAGTTACGGTTCTGCAAATTCACAATTCCATCAATCTTGTTTGTGGAATTACCACCAAAGCAAAACAAACCCAAAAAAGCTTATAAGATAAACACTTGATTGTTGCTTCACTATCTTCTTCTAAAAACATAATATCATGTCAAAAGCATATAAAGTCATGGAAAAAGCCAATGAGTACCGAAAACTTACAGATGAAACTATGAACTCGGTTTATTAGTAGTTGGTTACTGAAGGCTGTCTCCATTGAAACCATTTTGCCTGCAAAAGTCAGCATTTCTCTGTATTTGAAGTAAGTCTAAGTTGCGGCACTTGGCAGGATACGTTTTGAAGATAACATGATAAACTTTAAAAATCCATTGTGTAGTACAACACGACAACTTTGTCTTCTTCTTTCAAGACAATATAATGTTTCGCAAAGGGCAAAAAAAAAAAAAAAAAGGATTTGTACAAAGATTGGTTAGAGAGTCAATTGGGCTGTTGACTTGTCCAAGCAAAAAAATTCAGTCAAAATAGGTCTAAAACAAAGTGGGGTTGATGGATTATCCAAGCCCATGAGTCGTGGAGACACACAACCAATAACCAATTGTGAAAGATCAACTTACAATCAAATGGTTGGTTTATGAAGTTAACAAATAGATAACACTTCACCAAACTTTAGTTATGTCCCTAAATTTTATGTAATTGGTTACTTAAAACTGATTCTCCACCAATTATGAAGCAAAACAAGCAATTTATGTAACCAACTTCTACATGTTTCTGTTCTCGCGTTGGTTGTGATTTAAGTGGTTCTGTAAGGCCTGAGCCCTCTTACTAAAGTCTGTTACTTGGTTACACAAAATATAGCCCATTTTTTTTTTTCCGAGTTCTCTTGTTGTCAGTGTGCAACCAATTGACCAAAAACTTGTTTCTTCTATACGATCTTTAAGCATTTGCATGAGCTTATCTTTAATCATTAACTTGTTTGAAGGTCTACAGCTTAACGGGTTGCATCATTGAATCTAGATTCTCTTGTGGAGGATCTGCTTTCGATCGAGTTCTGAAACGTTTTTGATGATATATTCCATGGATATGGAGAATCAAAATGGAACGAGCAAGCCATTAATAAAGCAGCATTCTCATTCAAGACAATCTTCACAGGAACATTTTGTTTTCGACAATGTTCCTGATCATCAGCTCAAACTTATACAAGAATCAACTGATTCAGAAGAACACTTTTCATCACCTGAATTCGGCATCCAGTCTCCACTGCAATCTCCTGAACCTGTTACATTTTCACAATCTTCTGGATACGACCCCAAAAGGATTCCCCAATCCGTTTTTTCAACTCGACCAACAACACCTATGGAGTGGAGTGTTGCTTCAAATGAATCGTTATTTAGTATTCACCTTGGAAACTGCAGCTTCTCAAAAGAGAATTTCGTTCTGTTGTATAAATCTGGAGAATTGCCAAAGGTAGAGGATCAGCCTGGAAAATCTGCCAAACCTGATGAACCAACAAAAGTTTCCAAGCCTGATGAGTCAAATAAAGTTCAGCCTAGTTCGCCCACTGCGACCAAGTTAGCAGACAACATGGAGAGAATTCTTGCAATTGGTGAAGTTAATAATAATCAGAAAAAAACCAGTCCTGCTGATGCACGTTCGGAGGGGAGTAATAGTACTACTAGCATGAAGTCTTTTCATTTCCCAGTGTAAGTTGCTATCTCTTTTCCAGAAACTTAGAATTAGGTTCATGAACGGAAACTGAAATGCATTAAGGATTTGTAATGTTTATTAACGTATGGTGATATATTTCAGATTGGAAAATGATATCGGAAGGCATACTTCAATAAACAGGGAACAATTGGAGGAGGAGATGGAGAACAGAAGACACATCTCTATAAAGAGGGAAATTTTGAAGGAAGAAAAGGAGAAGAGGCCATTTACATGGCATTCCCAGCCACAGATACAGTCAAGTGGGCTACAGTATTATAGTCAGAGTCAGGAGCAGCTGCGGCCTCAGTCGCAAACCTCATTAAAAACTCAAAAATTTGGCTCCAACAACAGCTGGTTCTCCTGCATCCCATGTTTGTCACCTCGCACTTTAATCAAGAGACAAGTCAATAATTAATCTGCGATGAAAGATGTAGTTAGTTTTAGTAATTGTAATAGTGATATTAATTACAAAGGAGATGAGAAAGTAATTAAGATGGTTTAAAGGTGAAGATTTTATGTGCAATTCATCCTCATATCTTATTAATTTGCACCTAAAATCTTCCTATAATCATCCTTAATTTTGTCTCAATTATTAGTTGCATAATTAATAAAGTTTGGTGTTTCAGAATTCAACTTCTTAGCATTGATTGGATTAGTTTCCAAAAGTTTATGAAAGACAATGTTTTAAAACCCAGCCCAGTCCAACCGGTTGAACCAGGACTCGGAGCCTTCACCGGGCCGGGTTAGGGTGGGAAAGTGTCCTATTCACCATCTTGTTCTTGTATTCTCCTATTCACCAAAAACCCTAGGAATTGGGACGGTAATCGATGAATAATTGAAGATCGAGATATTGAGGCTTTTAAAGAGGAAGGGTCGTTGAGTGTAACGGTGGCAACGGAGGTGATTTCCGGTGATTGAAAATCACAAAACTAAATCGACGATAACAACGAGTTGTTGTCGTCGATTGGCGAGGCAATTGGAGGAGGGGTGATATGGGTTTTGGTCAGGAGACTGATCAGAATGTTTTTGTGGTAATGGAGAGTATTGTCGTCACTGAAAATAGACCTTATTTGTCCTAGTTTGTTGATGCTGACGATGATGTTTGGGGTATTTTTATAAGATCTCAAACTTATAAAGACTATATAGAATTTTTAAAAACATTTTTGGATATCAGTTTCGCCCATCGGTCAAACCGATTAACCTAAGATTTGACCACTTTGCTAGGTTTCATCGGATTGGTTATTACAAATTTACAACATCGATGAAAGTACAATAAAAGGGAAAACAAGTAGGGCGAGGCCCATTGGGCGTCGTGTTGAAGTGTCGAGGCCAACCCGTCAAAAAATGGTACGGCAGAAAGACAGACACGAAGTGAAAGGAGGTCAATGTGAGATTTGGACCACCGTCTCTACTTAAATTATACTTTTTTACAAAGACTTTGGTTGACACTTAATAAGTAAATAAGTTAATTAATTAATTAATCCATAAATCATTCACTTAACAATACGTCACTCTTTCATCACCTAATCGTAATGTTTTTTTAAACCCATAAATATTATATTATAATTATGAGAATCTGTATGACAGACAGGAAATTAAGATTTATTATTGTTTTTTTTTTTTAAAATGTGGAGTCTTCTTCCTGTTTGGGAAATTGACAAATGACAGAAGAATCAAAGCACCCTATGCAACATATTATCTTTTGGACTTATGTTTCCCTTCAAAGGGTTCATTTCTTTTTACCCATCTTTATCACTCAATTTATTATACAAATATATTGTGTTATTTAGATAATAAATACAATATGGGTAGGAAAATATACCCAAATATACTCGACAGATTTGATAGAGATTTTTAGGTATATTTTTCAAGAAGTTCTTAGTTTAAATCCTTAATCGAGTGTTAATAGAGATAGTCATTAAAACTCTTACCCGATCAATAGTTTTAGAGTCCTGAGAGATTAGTTGCGATACGCGTATACTGGCTCAGACAGTCCAACCATAAAAAAAAAAAAAAAAGAGTTAACGACTTTTTCCCACTTAAATAATAGTTTAATGACACTTTCTCATCTATAGACTTTTAAATACCACTATTTCATCTAAAAAAATACATTTTCTGATTTGGCAGCAAACAATGAGCAAACTCGGTCTATGCTGTTAGGGTTTTTGAAGAGAAGAGGTTGGTAAGTCTTTTGGTGATGAAGGATTGAATTTTGGTTTTCATGATTAGTTAGAATTTGACTTGGGGGACATATGTTGTGGGTTTTAGTGAGTAATAATCGAAAAAAAGAAATGATGATGACGTGAGATTAAAATGATACCAAAACCAATCCATGATTGACGAGATAAGTGAGAAAATACTATTAAAATATGTTGTTTGAATGAGAAAATAGTATTTTAAAAACCGAAAGGTAAAAAAATGTCGTGAAACTATTATTTAGGTGGAAAAAGTCCTTTACTCGTAAAAACAAAAATCCAAATAAAGAATTTAATTTTCAGTGTATGNGGAAAGAAAATGACGAAAAAGACCCCTCCAACGGCTATAAAACGGCTATATTTTAAGGGTAAAAGTGTAATTTAAAAAACTAAATTAATTTTACATTTTTTTTTAATTTTTTTTTGCCCAACCCGGCGGGTTGGCTATTGCCAACCCGCCCGCAACCCGTCGGGTTGCGATCCTCCTGCAGAGAGAACAAAATAGCAACCCTTGGGTCGACGAGTTGCCTTTTTGTAATCCGGCCCGCCCGGGGGTTGTTGGCGGGTTGGACTCAACCCGGCCTGCCATTAAGACGGGCTGAGCTTAACCCTCTTTTTATCGGGTCGAGTTAGGGTTGACCCGTCTATCCCGACCGATTTTTTCCACCTCTAGATGTGTCCACTTCACTAGGTTTCACCCGCATTGGATATTACAACATTGATGAAAGTACAATAAAAGAGAAAACAAGTAGGGCGAGGCCCATTGGGCGTCGTGTTGAAGTGTCGAGGCCAACCCGTCAAAAAATGGTACGGCAGAAAGACAGACACGAAGTGAAAGGAGGTCAATGTGAGATTTAGACCACCGTCTCAACTTAAATTATACTTTTTTACAAAGACTTTGGTTGACACTTAATAAGTAAATAAGTTAATTAATTAATTAATCCATAAATCATTCACTTAACAATACGTCACTCTTTCATCACCTAATCGTAATGTTTTTTTAAACCCATAAATATTATATTATAATTATGAGAATCTGTATGACAGACAGGAAATTAAGATTTATTATTGTTTTTTTTTTTTTTTTTTTTAAATGTGGAGTCTTCCTGTTTGGGAAATTGACAAATGACAGAAGAATTAAAGCACCCTATGCAACATATTATCTTTTGGACTTATGTTTCCCTTCAAAGGGTTCATTTCTTTTGACCCATCTTTATCACCCAATTTATTATACAAATATATTGTGTTATTTTGATAATAAATACAATATGGGTGGGAAAATATACCCAAATATGGTCTAAAGATTTGATGGAGATATTTAGATGTATTTTTCAAGAGATTTTGAATTTAAATCCTTAATCGGGTGTTACTAGAGATAACCATTGAAACTTTTATCTGATCGGTAGTTTTAGGATCCCGAGAGATTATTTGAGGTACACGTATGCTGACCCAGACAGTTAACGACTTTTTCCCACTTAAATAATGGTTTAATGACACTTTCTCACCTACAAATTTTCAAAACACCATTACTCCATCAAAAAAAAAAAATACACTTTCCGATTTGGCAGCAAACAAGGAGCAAACTCGATTTATGCAGTTAGAGCTTTTGAAGAGAGGAGGTTGTAAGTCTTCAGGTGATGGAGGATTGAATTTTGATTTTTGTGATTGGTTGGAATTTAACTTGGGGGGAATCTGTGAAACCTTAATTGCTCAATTGTCGGCTATTAATGAGATCAACGAGAGTAAAGTTTGAGGGTTTTAGTGAGTGATGATCGAGAAAGAGAAAGGTGGTGGTGTGGGGTTACAACGATGTCAGAATCGACTGACGATTGATGAGATAGGTGAGAAAATGTCATTAAAATATGTTATTTGAGTGAGAAAGTAGTATTTTAAAAAGAGTAATGCTATAGTTACTAAAGAATGTACACCAAATTCGTGTATCGAATGATATAGCGTAATCTTGAGTCTTGACCGTTAATTCATTATAAGTTAATATTAATCAATGGTTAGGATTTTATTATGTAATTTTTGATAATTTTATCATTTTCCTTTAAAAAATAAAGATAAAAAAGTGTCGTGAAACTATTATTTAGATGGAAAAAGTTTTTTACTCATAAAAAAACAAAAATCCAAATAAAGAATTTAATTTTCAGTGTATCCAATCAAAATCCAATCCAATCCAAGGGCAGATAGAAAATTGAATTAATGACGAAGAAAAAGTAAAAGATTGAAGGAAGGGGCCCTAGTTTATCTGGACCTCATAGTAATGAAAAGGCCTGGTGGGCCATAGTGACCTTCTGGAACGGCACCCCGCACCCCCACAAGTGAATACCTTTATCCAAATCCACGTGTTAACCCTTTAAGGAATCTTTTTATTTTATTTTTATAATTTAATCTTAATGGCTAACCACCACTATCACCTTCTCTCCTTCAATTAAATTGACGCCGTTGATGTATTTATTGACCGGCTCTGGCCCCCACCTCCCTCCCTCCCGCAAAATCACAACACCCTCCCTCTATAATTCTATTTAAAAATACAATTCCTGTTTTTTTCTTTTAAATTAAAAAAGCAAAAAGAAAAAAAAATTATATTTTGAATTTAAAATAATGTTTTATAGACACTATTAATTATATATACATTGCTATGTAAATGATGAATTATATAGTATTTTTCTTTTAAATTCATTTTTATTTTTCGCATGATATCAAAATTAAAAAAAAAATGTATTTTCTCTTCACTCATTTTGTTATTTATATAATTTTGAATTTTTTTTTAGTGATCAGAAATGTCTGAACCACTTTACGTATACCTTAACTAATGTTTTGTGACTTGAAGTTGATAGTCCGGTAAATCCTTTCAGTGGTTACCTCTATTTGTAATGTAGGTAAATCAAATTCACTCTTGAGTAATATATCTAAAAATCTTAGTTGACTATTGGTCCATCCAGTGATGATTAATTTTGAATGTTTAATTGACAAAAAATAATTATGAAAATTGTTAATAACATATTTATGGAAACTAAATAAGTAACATGTTTTTCTTTTTTTAATTTATTATTTGTTCTATTTATGTGTAGTGTATTGAGGAATTTATTTTTATTAATTTTATTATACGATGTGGAGAGTAAAGATGGTGTCTAAATTATTCAAGTCAATTAATTAAATAAGAAAAAAAAAAGCAAAAAACAAAGGCAAAGAAGAAGAAAGAAATGAAAGCAAAAAAGAGAAGAAAAAACGCGTTTTCTCTAAACAATACTGTTGAACTTGAATCTTCTTTCTCTCACTTCCATTTCTTCTTTCTTTCTTTCTTTCTCCCCTCCCCACCAAAATTTAGGGTTAGGGTTAGGGCTTCAAAGAAGAAAAACCCTCTCTCTCTCTCTCTATCTCCCTGTTCATCTTCACCTACTCAGAGAAAGGGTTTAGGGTTTTTATACAACCCTCCAAAGGGTACTCAAAACATGGTTTCTTTTCTCTATTCAGTCATCAAATGGCATTTTTTATACAAACGACTCTCCCCACTTTTACTCTTGTTCCTTTCACTGCTCTGCTTCACTTGGAACGGTGTCGTTTTAGCTGCTTCTGATGATAAATCGGTGCTGATTCAGTTCAAGAACTCACTCTCCGATCCATCAGGCTTGCTCTCCACCTGGAATCTGAGCAACAACTCCAATCACTGCTCTTGGTTTGGCGTGTTGTGTGACTCCAATTCTCGTGTCGTTACGCTCAACATTTCTGGGGGTGGCAAAGAAGGTAATTTAAGTGAAGCTCAAAATGGGTTTCAATTTTCTTGTTCTGATTATGCTCAGTTTCCGATTTATGGGTTTGGTGTTAGAAGAAATTGTAAGGGTAGTAAAGGAAAATTGAGTGGAAAATTGTTGTCTGCTATTGCTGATCTTACTGAACTTAGAATTTTGTCTCTTCCATTTAATGGGTTACATGGTGAGATTTCGAAAGAAATTTGGGGCATGAAAAATTTGGAGGTTCTTGATCTAGAAGGCAATTTGTTGAATGGATCTCTGCCTTTGTCGTTTTCCGGGCTAAAAAAATTGAGGGTCCTTAACTTGGGGTTTAATAGAATAGCCGGTGAGATATCGGCTTCATTCTCAGATTTTGTGAGTTTGGAAGTGTTGAATTTGGCTGGTAATCAAGTGAATGGAACAGTACCTGCTTTTGTTGGCAGGTTGAGAGGGGTGTATTTGTCATTTAATAAACTTGGTGGGTCCGTGTCGGGTGAAATTGGAGAGAATTGTGAGAACCTTCAGCATTTGGATTTGTCAGGGAATTACTTGGTTGGTGGAATTCCGCAGAGTTTGGGGAAGTGTTTTCAGTTGCGATCCTTGTTGTTGAATGCCAATATGTTGGAGGAAGTTATTCCAGCTGAATTGGGTATGCTTCAGAATCTTGAAGTGTTAGATGTGTCAAGGAATAGTCTTAGTGGGCCGATACCTGTTGAGGTAGGAAACTGTTCCAAATTGACTGTTCTTGTGCTTTCAAATCTATTTGATACATTTGAGAATGTTGGGAGTACAAGAGGGGATTCTCCAGTTGAGCAATCGAGTTCTATGAACGATGATTTTAACTTTTTTCAAGGTGGATTTCCTGAGGAAGTTGCATCCCTTCCAAACTTGAGGATATTGTGGGCACCACGGGCAACACTTGAGGGCAAGTTACCAAGCAATTGGGGTACTTGTAACAACTTGGAGATGCTTAATTTAGGCCGCAATTTTTTCACGGGAGAGATACCTGGTGCACTTGGTCACTGCAACAAACTGCATTTTCTTGACTTGAGCTCAAATCAGCTTACTGGAGAGCTTGCTGAGGAACTCCCAGTGCCTTGTACAACTCTCTTTGATGTCAGTGGAAACTCCTTGTCAGGTTCAATCCCAACATTTCGTAGTAGGGCCTGTCCTCCTGTGCCTTCCTTAAGGGGGAACCTCTTTGAAAGCTATGACCCACCTACAGCATATTTGTCATTTTTAACAAACAAAGCTCAGGTTGGAACCCCTTTGCCATTACTTGGAGGAGATAATGTTCTTGCAATATTTCACAATTTTGGAGTGAATAATTTTACTGGCACTCTACCATCCACGGCAATTGCACCTGAAAGATTAGGGAAGCAAACTGCTTATGCATTTTTTGCTGGAGAAAACAAACTTAGTGGACCTTTCCCAGGGCACTTGTTTGAGCAATGTGATAGATTGAGCACAATAATGGTCAATGTTAGCAACAACAGAATGCCTGGTCAGGTTCCAGCTGACATTGGTACCATGTGCAATTCTCTTAAATTTCTTGATGCATCTGGGAATCAGATTGTTGGGCCCCTTCCCCATGGTGTTGGGGAATTGATGTCTCTTGTTGCTCTTAATTTAAATTGGAACCTTATGCATGGCCAGATTCCGACTAGTCTTGGACAGATAAAGAGTCTAAAGTATCTTTCTTTGGCTGGTAATAACCTCACTGGCTCTATACCTTCCAGTTTGGGTCAGTTGCAGTTATTGGAAGTGCTGGATCTTTCTTCGAATTCTCTCACTGGTGTGATCCCAAATGATCTTGAGAACTTGAGAAGTTTGACTGCTCTTCTTCTCAACAATAATAATCTCTCTGGGCAGATTCCCTCTGGTTTGGCAAATGTTTCTTCACTCTCAGCATTCAATGTGTCCTTCAATAACTTGTCTGGGCCGTTGCCCTCAAGTAATAATTTGATGAAGTGCAGTAGTGTTCTTGGAAACCCTCATCTACATCCTTGCGAGGCATTTTCCCTGACAGTTCCTTCTTCAGATATGCAGGAGGCTGGGGATCCACAGAATTATGCTGCAGCCCCAGTGGAAAGTCCAGTAAGCAGTGGGAGCCGTGGCTTCAATTCAATTGAAATAGCATCCATAACATCTGCATCGGCTATTGTGTCAGTTCTTTTAGCTCTCATTGTCTTATTCTTTTACACCAGAAGATGGAATCCACAACACAAAATAGGTTCTACTAGAAAGGAAGTAACAATTTTCACAGACATTGGAGTTCCATTGACATTTGAGAATGTTGTACAGGCGACAGGAAATTTCACTGCAGGCAACTGCATTGGGAATGGAGGTTTTGGTGCAACTTATAAGGCGGAGATCTCACCTGGAGTGTTAGTGGCCATAAAACGGCTTGCTTTCGGACGGTTTCAAGTGATTCAACAGTCTCAATCTCATGGGATTCAACAGTTTGAACAGTTTCATGCAGAAATTAAAACTCTTGGAAGGCTTCGACATCCGAATTTGGTCACTTTAATAGGTTATCATGCCAGTGAATCGGAAATGTTCCTTATTTATAATTATTTGCCAGGGGGTAATTTGGAAAATTTTATCCAGGAGAGATCCACAAGGGCTGTGGTTTGGAGGGTGCTTCACAAGATTGCTCTGGATGTTGCCCGAGCTCTAGCCTACCTTCACGATCAGTGCGTACCACGTGTCCTCCATCGTGATGTCAAGCCCAGCAATATCTTGTTGGACGATGATTTCAATGCTTATTTATCTGATTTTGGCTTGGCGAGGCTTCTAGGCACTTCAGAAACCCATGCTACTACAGGAGTAGCTGGGACTTTTGGTTATGTTGCTCCAGAATATGCAATGACTTGCCGGGTTTCTGATAAGGCTGATGTTTACAGTTATGGGGTTGTACTTCTTGAGCTACTTTCAGACAAGAAAGCTCTGGATCCCTCATTTTCCTCTTTTGGCAATGGTTTCAACATAGTTGCATGGGCATGTATGCTCTTGCGTCAAGGTCGTGCCAAGGAGTTTTTCACTGCAGGATTGTGGGATGCAGGCCCTCATGATGATTTGGTAGAGGTTTTACATTTAGCTGTTGTATGCACAGTTGATACTCTTTCTACTAGGCCAACGATGAAACAAGTTGTACGGCGGCTGAAGCAACTCCAACCTCCTTCATGCTAGTGTCTTGATAAGACTGTTCATTAACATAGTTATTTGTAGAAGGTGAGCCCATTGTAATTTATGCTTCTCCGGCTGTATTGTCCGTGGCTGCCTCGTAGGTAGAGTTCTCAACTGTAGTTAATTCCACTTGTAAATTGTATTGTAATTTTGCACCCATTTTTCTATGCCATTTTTCTGATTAGGGAGCTTACTGATGAATCTGCAGAAGAATGCAGATGCTTGTTTCCACTTATACTTGTAATTTTAGTATCATTTGTTGTTTAATAAAACCATCGAATAGAGTTACTTTCTGAGAAATTTCAAGTGCTTGTTTAAAACATTATATCTGAAGCTTGATGATTAGTGGGAAGACGAAACCTGTTAAAGGGCTCATGGTTTTCAATTTGCAAAGACTTTGTCGAGAAAGTAAAGCTAAAAAGTAATTGCAGGATTCTCCTTGGAAGAATCAAAGCTCGAAACCTTCCGAGATTATCCCTTTAACTACTAAAGAAAATTTGATAAGCACCTTAGGGTTACTTTTTCCCCATGAACCATGGTTGGTGGTTCTCCCATCTTTTCGTCTTTTACTTTTGGTGGTTCACGAGCAATGGAAGAACACATCATAACTACCCACTTACACTATACTTCATAGCTTTAATAATGCACATCACCAAGTTTATAGATGCACCAATAAGTTGCAGGTAACCACTTTTGCATATTGATATTTTCATTCATAGCTATACCCTCTCTTTTTGTCACCTGTTTTCATGATTCGCAACCATCAATTGAATTGTCTATCCTAGGATTAATGTTGGAAGATTTAAGCAGTCGAACAAAGAAACTAAAAATAGAGCTAAATTACCCTGTGAGCTCTATAACCATTGTTACATGCTTTCATGTATTACATACAATAGAAATGCCTTGTCCAGTTGAAAAAAAAAAAAAGGGAAGCTTCATAACCATTTTTGGTTGAGGTATCGATGCATTACTGCTACAAAAGGGCAGAAGGGTTAACGACTATATGCTTTAGAGGGTGTGCAACATCGCCTCCACCAGCGTGCTTCACAAATTCAGCTGGTGAGAGAAAGCTACCATGGCAAACACATACTATTCTCACCTCCTCGCCCTTCCTATACCTGTAAAGAAAACCTTCTATTCTTTTCCCGTTGGGGCCATCACCTGTAGTAGACACACAAGGCATATCTTCTAGCACATTCCTTACCACTTCCTTCATTCCCTTTTCAGCAGCTGTTGTCTTATTCAATTCATTCTTCATTGGAACCCCGGCAACTTTACTTGATTTTTCTGCAGTTGTTGCTTCAGTATTGGTTGGTGATTTGTGCTCACTCTTCAGCATAGACTGAACACTTGAAGGGCTTATTGCTTCAGTACATTTGTTCAATCCTGAAAAGAGACGCAAAATAAATTGGGACTTCAAATCACTAAATATCGTATGACTAGCTTGTGAATAAAAGACTAAAGAATAAGAATATATACAATCGGTAAAACAGAAATACACAATTGTCACTTGTATAGAACAAGATAAGAGTATGACTACCAATCTACCATATGCAATAGAAAATCTACCAGGTTCTAGATCTAAAACATTAATCATAAATGCTATATAGATCCAGTAGGCAGCATAAGCTGAAGCCAGTGAGCATCAAAATATGCATTAACTGCCAATCAACATCAGAAAACCACAAGATTTGTAAACAATCAATTCAACCTTCCCTATATTACAGTTATTACTATTTCAGTTAGGATTCACAGGAAGTGATGATCGTACAAGAAATCACATTCAAATGAAGCTGAACCACTATTTATGATGGATATTTCCCTTTTGCAGGTGAAAATAAGATAAAGAAAAATCAGTCAGTCCTCTTTCATTGTCTTCCCTTTTCCTGGAAGTGACTGTTTACCAGAGTGCACCTTTTGCCCTGATTATTCCTTTAAAGTTTAGTCATATTACAACTGCTTTAATTGGTCATAGAAGAGTCAAAATTTAACCGGAGTATCGTACCATGGAATGACAGGGAGTTTCATAAATCTTCCTCCGGTAACTTCAATTCGGCTCCATGCAACAGACCGTTCACCATGAGTGAGTGCCTGCTGTTGACTCAGGTGTAGAGCCTTATTAAACCAATTAAAGCTTTGATCACGTACCAAGAAACTCGTCACCACAATTTAAAAATGATATAACTCACATAATGAAGTCATCTCACAAACGCAGTTTTTAGAATCTCCCTTCCTCTTCCTCTCCTTCGTTTTGGCTAAGAGAAGACCATAGATTGAAGCATCTTTATAAAGTAGCCTTAAATTAATAGGTCCCAAGACACGTATAATATGGCCTTAGTTATGCATATTGGCTAACAACAAATTTCTCTCTGTAAAGCTATTAACAAAGAGGCCTGCTATTGCATAGTACTCCAATATGTTTGTTTCTTCAGCAGGTGCTATTCTGGTAATCCAATAGTTGTGAACTGTTCCAACAACTTCTCTTGCCTGCACATGCAGCTTCTTTTATCTTTGGCTATGAAATTGGCGACACATATACTCTTAACATAAACATAGAGGCTCAGATCTGTTGAATTTGCTCTCAGCAAAACGCTTGTTAACCAGTCTCGAATTATCTTGACTCACAAAGGGTTTACCAATGTACATCAAATAGGAAAACATTCTTTTTTTTTTTTTTTTTTTTATGTCAATTGACAATCTAAACAAGGACCCCATTTGAAATTCACTCATAAAAAGTTGTTTCCCCACTAACATCGCCCCCACCCGGAAAAAACAGAACATCATACGTAATCCAGCAATATCACTAAAAAAGAAGGATCTGCACACCTCATAGTCAAAGGAATACATTATCATTATGACTGAACAGAGAAAGTCACCTTATGCAAAGATTTTAGGGGCTTTAAATTCTACATTCGGAAAAGCTAGAACAGAGATCAACTTTGATTATAACAGAACATATTCGAGATTTTTTTTTTTTTTTTTTGATATAATAACTTCATACATAGCGCATAAAACCTGGATTAAAATTCTTTTGACTCTCCACACTCCAGTTTGGTTATTTTATTATTATTAGTCTAAATTATCTTATATTTGACTTGAAACAGAAAATGATTTACAGATTTAAAAATGCTCATCAGTGAAGCTAAATTGCATAAACTAGTTTAATTATACAGATCAAGAATGAGAACCTTAACAAAATCAACAAGAATAATAACTGAGAACTAAAATCAAAATAGCAAAAATATGAAGATCCACCAATAAAATAATTGTAAAAAGATAAAAGTTAAAGTACAGATTAAAAGAAATACCTTGAAATGGTTGACTCTCAAATTCAGAAATCCCAGATGAGCCACTACCTTGTGATGATCCAATTGAACCTTGTGACGGTTGTGGCGGCTGCAGCGGCGGTGGTGGTGCAGCTGGTGGTAATAGTAAACTTCCTTCACCACCACCACCACCAACACCAACACCAACCTTGACTGCAATGTTACAATTGGCTCCTTTGCCTCCATTAACCCAACTTTGCACACAATTTTCAGCCTGAAAAATCCCATTAACAGTAGCCTCTTCTTCTGCCCCAAAAACTCTACTTCTCTCCCTCGAAATCTTCCAATTCCTTTGCTTCTCTGACCTTTTCCTCTTTGCTTCCATTCTCCTCAAAGTTTGCAACCCTTTTCTCTTCCTCCAATCCTCTTCAGTCTCCGTTGGCAATGAACACGTCCTTATAAGATTACCACAACCCACAGGCACCAAAAACGAACTCTCATTATTATTATAATTGTTAAAATCTTTCCCAGTTGGGTTCAGAAAATCCGGAATTGAAGAAGATCTTTTAAGCTTATTTGCTCTTTCAGGGTCCACCCCAAACCGTCCATTCAATGACAGCCCCAAACTCAGCTCAATCTCTTCCGTTTCTTCTCCACCACCACCACCACCACCTTGTTGAAAATTCCTGTAAAAAAATTGGTTGGTCGTCCCATTCATGAATCTCTGCAACAGATCTGTAGAAAAACCACTTACTTGAGCTTCTTTCGCCATTAATTTAAAAAAAAAAACCCAAAATTCTATTTAAACGATAAACCACAAAAATCATTCCATTTTTTAATCATCTTCATCTTCTTTCAACGATAGTAGTGCACAATGAACACGTTAATGTAAGAACGGAGAGAAAGATTGATTACGTTTATTTGAGAGGGAACCAAATTACCGTAAACACCCCAGAAAGGTCATGGGAAAGTGACACGTGGAGGGCATGAAGGAAGGGGAGAGAGGTGGAGATGAATAGAACACACGTGGTGTCAAAAACCAGATTCCAAGGCGTCTCCATCTCTTTGGTTGTGTCTGTGGATTAAGCTTAGATAACAATCGTGTCGTACCATGAGTGTGGATCCCTCCTCTAACTGCCACGTGTTGCTGAATATTTTCAGTTAGCTTTAGATTGTCTGTGGGACATGACACGTGGACTTATTTGGTTCGGATTCGTGTCTCAGATTTTCTCCTTCTAGCTACCTGCCGTTCTCTCTTTCTCTTTCTCTTTCTCTTTCTCGTCTCGTCTCGTCTCGTCAATGAACGGTTCTTTGTCTAAACGTGGCGTTTGCGTTTCGGTTGCTGTGAATTTCGGTGCGACGCATCTGCATGGTTGTTGATGGGCGTTACCATCAGCTAATATTTTCTGTTTAGTTACACGCCAATTTATTTAACGTTTTGAGCTGTTACTAATTAATTAAAGAGAAATTTGCTTGATTAATTCCAACTCATTAGCCAATCAAAGACCTTAAAAGTGATGGCCCCACATGATAGTTGAATCCAACGGGTGAAAACACATGAGCGGGTGCGTAAAAGATAAAGGTGAGAAAAAGAGAAAAAGAATCTCCGAAAAACACGCAAAAAATCAAGAGAAGATCAGGCGTGGAACCCAAGAGGGCCAAGTTGCACAAATTGGCACTTTTTTAATTATTAATCGGGTTAGTGATCTCGGTTACTGCCACGTGTCTATTACCTATTTCTATGTCCACGTGTTTGGCTCCTACTGGTTTCAGACAGCTAAGCAGGCTTGCAAGTTGCAGAATGCGACGTGTCGGGAATTCATATGAAAAAGTGATGATGTAAATTGCGTGTCGTACGCACGTGTCCTGTCAGAAAAATTATTATTCTATTAATTACATTTTGTATTAGGTAAGTGTAATTATTTTTCCTTTAAATTTATTATATTTATAATCCTTAATAATACTTAATTATTCGTTATTCTAAGTATATGCTCCAATTATAACGAAGATGATTTGATTGAAAGTTAGTAAAAGTGTAAAGAAGCATCTAATACAACATGATGTTGGAAACGTTTACGTTGAACCTATTAATGTAATAAAAAAAATAATTGGATTAAAAATTCATCTGATTAAGATACAGCAAGTGGATGAAAAAGGGTGAGTCAGATGATAGCAAGTTGTTGAGAACTGTGGTTGGTGACAGTAGCACAAACATAAATAATATATTTATAAGAATGAATTAAATGGAATGATTCTTAAAGAGAAGAGAGGGATTAATTAGTCCAAGTTTTAACCATGTTTTATCACATCTCCTTTTTGGACTTTGTGGGTATTTGGTCAACAGGCAGATTCAAATCTTTTTTTGTGTAAATGGGAATCAAATTATGGACTTTTAGACTGATTTTATTCTAAGTTAGATCAACTATACATTCCTTTCAATCAAAATTGACAGTTTGATTGTTTTGGATCTCTAAAATTTTGCAACAATACCATGTTTTTTTGTTTTTGTTTTTCTGTTTTTGACAGGGTATCTTTTGACAGAGATTTTCGAACCAATTTATGCGTATTTCAACTAATCTAAGATATATTAAACACCTTACAAGCATAATGTTCCAAAGTGATTCAAACCCAGAAAATTAATGAAGTGAGCAAACTCTCTTAACCACTAGACCAACCTTTTAGGGTCATAATACCATGTTTATGATGGTAGATTTTGAACTTGTAAATCAAAACCGTAAAACTTGTAACACAGCCAAAAGGCCGAGTTTTACTCATCGCGTTCAGTTTCAAGGCCAAATGGCTGCTGCAAAATGTGACACTGAAGTGGGGATTGAACATAACCATCCCATCTAAGAAATTTTGGTAAATCAATAAAAAATTCTATCCATTTAAATAGTAGTTACAAGAAAGTAATTCCGTCCATCTCTTGAGATGTTAGGCTCATCCCATTACAGCTACCAAAAACCTTACAATTATCAACATTCTCCCAAGTTCACAATTACTTAATAAACTTAGAGAATGAGTTTAGATTCTTGAAAGTTACAGAGTAATCCTATGGGAGAAAAAAGGGCCCTAAATCCAATCCTAGAAAAGAAATCCTAAAATTAATGAAATGTCTTATAATCTCTACATCACTGCAACTCATAGTCTGGAAGTTACTTTCTTGTAAAATTTATAAATCATTGGAACACTACCTTCTAATTCTTTTCAAGGGCTGAGAACTAACCAGGTCAAAAAGTTGCCACCAAAAATTCATTCTTCAGAGTTTAATGCAGATACACCTGTCTGACTCGGTACACCTGATCGGTTACCTCTCCAACCTCTCCCTCGCTGATAACCTTCAACTCGCCCTGATGAACCCCTACCTTGACCAGAGAAATCTCCTCGGTTTCCATATTGATTTCTTCCAAAACTTCGGCCACCACCATAATTTCCACGTCCCCTGATGTTGTCATTCCGAAACTTCTCTCTTTCAGGAGGATACCTACCTCTACCACTGCCGACTGCAAGAACCAGCACCATTAACAATTTCGTCATATGCTAAAGTTTGGTTATCTAGAATTTTAAATATCAAGTACATTATTATTTCAAGAAGACAAGATTAAAAAGCGGGAATGATTTCAATTTACCTCGAGTGTTTTTCTTTCTCTCAACAACAGCCTCTAGCCCTCCAATAATGATAGGTGAAGCCTAGAACATTGCACTTCAATTTATAAACAGACAAAAAACCAATACTATAGAAATAATTTTTTTAATGGCAACGGAAGTATCAACGAGATGACAATATAGTGAAATGTTGCTAGATAAGTTTATCAACCAGTAGGTCCCCTATCCAAATAGTTTTGAGGAAGGTGTGACACAAACAAAATTGGAGAACACCAAAATTCTTCACAGTGAAGAGTATTTATGTAGGTACAAAATTGAAAAATAGCATTACAAATTTAGAGAATCTGCATCCTAAAAGAAATGACCTCATTCCACACTTCTATTTGATCAACATGAGAATCAAGTGTTAGACACTCTAAAAGGCGAACTGGCAATTCTTTAATTAGTCAAAGTAGTTACAAGTCCAGTCCAAATAGTTAGATGATACTTGGTGCTCCATATAAAGTGCATAACTCTTGAACATAGCAAGAAGCAAAAATATCATGTCTAATGGGATATTTCATGTAGTTGGAGAATAGCCAAAACATCGAACGATGGAGTACATGCTGAATATCAATGACAAGAAGAAATTGATTCACTGGTTGCAAACCTGAATTGCATTATCTACAGAAGTCGAAGACAGAAATTCAACAAAACCAAAACAGTATCCCTGTTGGCCAACATACCAAAGATAGGAAGATCAGCAAATTTTATGCCAAGTAATGCAAAACTTCATGGAAGACAAAATTGTTTAACCATGCAATGTGTTTGAAACCAACCTTACTATTTCGAACTTGAATACCTCTTTGCTTGATTGGTCCAAATCTCTTGAACTCTGCCTCAAGCTCAGAATATTTCGTGTGTAAGGGCAAATTTCGAATGTAAATGGAGTGACCCTCAACTGAATAGAAAAAAGTTATCAGACTCGACAAATTTCCAGAACAAGTAAAGAACAATCAAGAAGCTCTAGAGTGCAAACCGGTGAGATCAACTTGATAATTCTAATAGTCCCACCACAGGGCCTTACTTTCTTTCTTTACTTGTCAAGATCTGAACCTCATACCTTTCTACACCCACCCCACCTTATAGTATTTGAGCTAATACCAGGCCATTACTGTCCTTTTGCAAGTATGATTTTCCATTTAACATGAGAAAGAATCTATGAATTTCCATTTAACACAAGAAAAGGTCAAAAAACTTTGAATCTATGGAATGGCATATCAACATCAGTTTTTTCAGATGAAAGCCCTCAATCTACCATATAACACACAGAGAGACAAGGAAAAATATACCTTCCGCTTGAGCTTCGCTAGTCTCAGGGAGATCAGTATCAACTGGAGCAGGTGTGTCAGACTGTAAAGCAGGTGATGCTGATCCAATTGATTGATTCTCAGTTTTCATGGGAGTCAATTTTTCTGTATTAGTAGCTACATAAACTTTGGTTGGCCCTGACCCTCCTTTTGCGACTTTCACCTACAAAATAATAATTAATAATAAAATTAACTTCAAGAAGTAATCCAATGCAAATGCCTATGAGCAAAAATTCTTCATTTGTGCACTCACAATTGATGCATAAGATATCTTAGGAGCATCATCTTGGGCTAAAGAAGAAACCGATTCAACCATGGCAGGAGTGTCCTCTTCAACAGCATGAGACACTGATTTCATAATAGACTCTTCATCATTCACTGATTGTCTCTCGTGACCTGAAGGTTCATAGATCTTTCCAGAAACACTTTGATCCTCTTCCAAACGAGAAGTTAATGGATCTGATGCAGGAGGATCCGGATGATGAATGGGCTCTAGAAAATAAGAATTCAATTTTTTTTTTTTAGTAATTTAAAAAAAAAAAAAAAAAAAAAAAAAAAAGTTAATAGAATTCCCCCCTACCCTAAAAAGTATAACATACCTGAATCTGGGAATGACGGGACCACTGGGGTATCACCAACATTATTGACTGGATACTTTTCCAATACTTCACTATCTTCTACATACCTAAAAATATCATTCAGAACAAAGTAGCCATTGTCTTGTGGAGCAAGAAAGAATGATTGCACAAATTTTCTTCTCAAGTTGTCCTTGCCTGTCAAGCATCCAGTTACTAACACAGATACTCCACCACTAAGGGAGTTCTGAGCATCAGCAGTTTTTATCTCTGCCTTAGAGTTCTTAAAATCCAAGGAAAGAATCTTCTCATTTATACCCTGCTCCAAGAAAAACAATAATGTCATCAACAGTTTTATCTCATTTTTGGTTATAAAAGAATCATCATGGGAAATGCCAAACAAGATTTTAATGACATCTTTAGACAAAGAGAATCAATCAGAAGGAAGTAGATTAAAAAACTAACCAAAATTTCAAGGAGCAAGAGTACATGAATTCCTTAAAAATTAAAATAAGGCAAAAAAATAAAAAAAATAAATAAAGATAAGAGAGAACAGTAAGCATGTTTTCAGTATATACAGACCCATTTTCAGCATGCTATAGTGGAGGAGAAATATATAGACATTTCCAACACGGTATATTCATTTTCCACCAGAAAATTTGGTGGAAAAAAAATCTATTCTGAAAACTTATACCAGCCAAAGATATTAATTAAGTTTCACATATCAAGAAGAAAACTTTACATACCACATATTTCATCATATATTTCCCCCTAAAAACTCCCACTAGTTTAACATTAAATTATCCTTGCGGCCATTCATGAGCTTTCTAACCCAACAGAGGTACATTGCTTAGACAACATCAACCCTCAAATTGATGAGACAATTTCAAGACAATTTCTAACCCAAAATCATATTGATGAGACAATTTCAAAACCACTGTCAACATCTAAGATTGAGAATTGCCTTATTTAGCCTGCAAGAGCTCGGTGAGATAATAGTTTACGAATATTCTTAAGTTGCTGCAAATCAACCATTTGCTAGCCAACAAATGGCCACACATATAAAAATAAATAGTAAACCATATGTGTGGAATATGCAAATCATCAGATTTTCTTGAATGGCCAAAGCATTAAATAAACTGTAAATGGTCCCAAAAAAAAATATGTTCACCCTATATAGCCTACTCCAAGCATATATATCTATCAAGTTATTTCACAAGAAAAAATAAAAGGACATACAGTCCAAACAGTATATCAATTATACAATCAAAAAAGTTCCCAAGACACTTACTTCCATGGTTGTCACTGATGTCATGTCACCATTGGGATCCGGTCGGCTTAGCACACTTGAATCATGATAAAATTTATAAACTGTCTCAGGAGAATCATAAAGGATATGGTAATACTGCTCGACGAAAGCATTACCAACCATTTGGGCACTGGGAGGACTTGCCGTTTGCAAGGCCATTCTGCCAATAGCAACACATAAACATTAACATAAGAACATTTCCATAATTAAATTTTTTCTATAACTGTGGGGAAAAAAATAATAACACTAACATCAATGACACAAGGCACTATAATCTCATAAAGAAGAGAACAGCTAGCCCCAACCATAGAAATTAGCACACAAATAACAAGGGGCCGGCAAAGGAAGTGAACAGGTTTTTACACGTCCAGCATCCAATAAAATGTAAATCATCAAAACAAAAACCCGTATGTATCCCACATAGATACTATGCAACAAGCCTTCGACCACTAATTGTTGGCTCCCATGAACTCTCAACCTCAAAATATTTGGACAATTTATACCAAATGGGAACTTTTAAATGCAGCACACATTTAAACACTGTAAAATAATATATATAAATATATAAGATTCCCATTAGTCCAAAAGCTTCAATAGAGCCTAAGCAAAAAGTGAAAACATATCATAGAGTGTGCAAATTTAACACCACATAATTCTCTAAAATGTGCCAATACTGACAACTGTTTAAAGAATGCTCTTATTGACGCAACCAAAACTAGCATAATTAACACGTGAAACTTGAAAGCAAAAAGAACAAGGAAATGGCCTGAAAAGTAATAAATCCACATTCTCCAGAACAGCAAGAACAGAACTTGCAACACATACCATAATCACATTCTCACAGAAACCCTAAAAGAATGAATGCATAAATGTTTTACACTAAACAATCATACAGTAAAGAGCCACACAATTTATGACTACAACAAATAACAAAATACAGACACAGCTCAACAATTTGTCTCAACCAAAAAAAACAAAGTTACGAACTTCAAAGCAAAAATAGCTCCTTTACCATGACCCAAACGACAAAAAGCTAAAAACTTTACCCATAAAACACAAAACTAAAAGTACCAATTTGGGAAAATCAATAGATGTTATCAATCAGCAACACTATGAGCAACAATAAACGAAGTACAACCACCCATTAGAATTAGAATAGCCATTGCAATGTCAGATCAAAGAGAAGATAATGACAAGTAAACATTCAAAATAAAAACAGAAAGAATGAAAAAAAAAAGTACCATTCATTTAGGAACGTGAAAAACAAAAAATGATTAAACAAATTAAAGCAAATGTACTAAAGAAACGGACTAAAAAACAAAAAAAAAACAAAAAAAACGAGGAGTGATCTGTAAAAGAATGAGTTTTAAAATAAAATAAAAAAGTTACCTTTAATGGGGTAGTGTTAAAGCTACCAAGAAAGTAGGAGATGGTAAAGTGATGAAGGTGAAGTAGAAACAGAGAAGAAGAGGTAAAGTTTGCGCACGAAAGAAGGGACAGGAGGAGAACGAAAGGTACCCGTGAAATAAGAATAATGAATAATAATGAATAGATGGTGAATTTCTTTACTTGGGTCAGATTTTGTTTGTTATACTTGTCTGAGTTTTATTGTATTCCACACCTGGATAACCTGATTCCGGCCCATTGTTACACTTCATCAATACTTTCTGAACTAGGAAAATAATGTGTGGATATTATACGAAATATGGAAATTTTTTTTTTTTTTTTTTTTTTTTTTTTATTATAATCAGGGTGCTCAGGCCGGTTTATGTGTATCTCAACTTATCCCTATATGCTCCGTTGAACACCGAGATCCATTGAACTATCTACAAGCCCGATGGGTCAAGTAAGTTACAAATATAGTAGGTAATTACTTTGTGAGACTCGAACATAAGACCTTTAGATAACCCATCCACATAACTAAAATCTTGTCGTCCGACCACAAGGCTAGTGGTTGGAATTATGGATTTAGATATTAAAAATATTGAAATGTGATTAGAAAATGCTATCCTTACAAAGACCCATACAAAGAGGGCTACAAAGTGACATCAGCAAGAAGAAAAAAACAAAGAAAAAACGGAAAAAGAGAGAGAAAGAGAGAGAGAGAGAGAGAGAAATCATGAAAATCAAGGGTGAGGATTGTCTTTGTATGCCCCTTTTGTATGTGTCTTTGTAAAACTAGCATTGCTCATGTTATTATATATATATATATATATTGTTGTGTGTGATTTTTTTATCAAGCTCGGGCCTTCGCCGGGATATAGCTCGACCCAGAACTAGCTCAGCAACGATGATTGATCGACCTAGCATAAGCTAGTCGCAAGCAATCCGAGCAATCATTCAATCAATCCCCAGATTACTTTAGATCCTAGATATTGCGGGAATGACTAGATCAACATCGATCACTACGCAATCACAACGTCTAATCGCTAGAATATTGGAATTGCAATTCAGATCAATTGTAATCCCTTTAATTTCACTCTTTTCTCTGTACAAACCTTGTATATAAACTCTAGTTAGTAAATACGAGTACGACAAAAAAAGGGTACAAGAATTTTATTGGTATGATACAGTAAATGGTGAAAAATATGTTTGTAAAAATTTGGTCATAAAATTTGGATACGCAAAAAATATGGTACGGGTATATACGGGTTTAATACGGCACATTGTCAATAATTTGTTTTGAAAAATACAGCAATATCAATCCTAGTTTTAGCACTTTTCATGGGCCATTTGGTTAAAATCTATATAGCATTTCAAATATACGGGTATGACAAAAAAAGGGTACGGGAATTTTACGGATATGACACGGCAAATGGTAAAAAATACGTTTGTAAAAATTCGGGAAAAATTCGCAAATAATACGGTTGGGCTGATAAAATACGGCAGTTCGCGAATAATACACGAATTTACTATCTAGGATATAAACCCCCTCAAATGATGAGGAAGGGGCTACAATTTTGACATAGGAATTATATTGTAAGCTCTCATAGCAAATACAAAAATAGTGGATGTAGGCTTCAGAGTTAACCTTGTCGAACTACTTTAAAACTCTCATTGTCTTTACTTTATTGCATTTTTACATATATTGCTGATTATTCTTAATCACGCACGCATCAGTTCCGATCTCGGCAAGGTTGATCGGATCTCGCTAGTTGGTGTAGATTTCTGTATCAACATTTTGGTGCTAGAAGGAGGGCCTCCGCCAACATCTCAAGGATTCCGGCAAACATTCATAGCAACCTACCTATTCCAGGCCCAAAATGGTGTACACCATATCAAAAATCACCACCAGAAACCTCAAACACGTGGAAGCAGCCCATTAGGAAGTGCAATAGGAGATCATTGGACGCCGACCACCTATGCCGCCAGCCCAACACACCACAAACAATCAGGGGGCAAAGACGTCAAACCCCGAGAATGGCTAGCTGATGGAGATTATCAGAACGATGGTTGCACATGTGATGTAACAGAATGTGGCCAAGTTGCGGTACCAGTAACTAGTTGCTCAGAACCTCGACTAGCAACACTGCACCAATGCAACCCCAACAGGTATGAATTATGCAGGTGGACAGTTCATTCTGTCGATGCCAGGGGGTGATCAACACCCCTAACCTCGCAGACATCACTTCGCTCACGAGCGCGAGTCTTGCGGGCAAACAAACCTTGGGAGGCGGCCAAGGAAGCAACCACAGAGAGAAAGAAAAAGCAACGGGCACCACCGAGAAGTCGGTGATACCCCCAGTGTTAGCGTGCCGGTATTAACCCATGCCCAATAGAAGGTAGATCTTCGCAGGCTCGCAAAGCAAGTCATGTGCATCAGTTTGGCAATAACTAACGTCGCGAGCAATGCACTGACGAGCATAATAGCACCTATTAGCCTAGCCATCATGACTCAACCTCACGCATCAATGCGTACACCAGAGGAGCTTATTTGGTCGAGGTAAGGCTTAATAGAGCTAGCCAGGGGAACCACAATGAAGATTTAGATCGCGTGTAAAAAATTCTCGACGATCTGAGAGCTCACCAGAACAACCTAGCGAAAGAAGTAGTAAGTTGCCTTTTCACGAGGGAAGTTCGCTGGGCCCCATTGTCACAAGGATTTAGGGCACCAAAAAGCAAGTTCGATGGGAAAGGGGACCTTAGAGACCACTTCGACAACTTTAATGACCTGATAGAGCTACACCAGGTCAGTGACTTAGCGAAATGCCAATGTTTCACAATCATGTTAGTCGGAGATGCCAAGAGGTGGTACAAGAGGCTCAAGGCGAACTCCATCAACTCCTGGCAACAATTCTCCTCGCTGTACTTACAACAATTTAAGGTAAAAAGGCAGTTCGCAATACCGCTCAACTACTTAAGCAACATCTACCAAGAGAGAGATGAAACGCTGACATCATACCTAACGAGTTCTAGAATGAGCAGGCAAAGGTCGCTGATGCCCCCAAGGAATCCATTCGAACTTTGCTGATCGCAGGAATCAGGCCAAATACGGAGCTATGGAAAGAGCTCTAAAGCGAAGATCATGTAAGCCTGGCCAAATTCTACCAGATGGCTGCAAAATACTACCGGGTAGAAAGCTTGTTGGCAGCATTGGCTAGAGGCTTGACGCGGGGGGCCTCGGACAGGAGACAAGATCACCCATTGAATAAGCATGGGAGTTGAGACCACAATAACAGGGATCGCAACAAGTTCCAAAAGAAACAGAGAATAGATAATCATAGGGACAGGCAACCTTTCCCGCGGTATGTAGAGTATACCCCCGTCACTCAAGATGTCGCCCATATCTATGGAGTGTCTAGAGAGGCGAAGAGACTGCTCGCTCTAGAAAGGATGAAGGGGCCTCCAGGCAAAAGAGATTGGCAAAAGTACTGTCGATACCACAGGGATATTGGGCACAACACAAACTATTGCCGAGCTTTGAAGGACGGCATCGAAGACCTAATAAGAAGAGGTCATCTAAAAGAATTCGTTAAGGTAGAACCAACTCACGAAAATCCAGGCGAACAAAGTAACCAGGCCCCAAGTCAGGCTTAGAACCCAGCACAACAAGCTCCGCCAAACCCCAATGAGGTCTTCGTGGGAATGATCTACGGAGGACCCAACATAGCAGGGAGCTCGAGATGTGCTCATGAGCAATATGCTTAGGAAGCCAGAACGGACTCGATTCCCTGGGCAATGAGCTGCAAACAGAAGCTGCCCAAGCAACCCAAACAAGAGAGCAAGGTAGTAGGATTTACAGTCGACGAGTGCAGAGCATCACCTCGCCAAAATCATGATGCGATAGTGATCGCAGCTAGAATCCGCAATGCAAGAGTATTAAGGGTAATGGTTGACAATGGGAGCATGGCGAACATTATTTTCTTGGAAGCCTTCTGAGGAATGAGGTTCATAGAAAGGGACCTGTGAGCATGCCCTTCACCGCTCTATGGGTTTACCAAGGACAAACTGGTTCCCAAGGGCACAATCAACCTTCCTGTAACCTTGGGGGTAGAGCCAAAGGTTAGAACAGTGATGACCGAATTTTTAGTAATAGATTGCCCGACCACATACAACGTCATCCTTGGAAGGCCAATCTTGGATGATTTAAGCACAGTGATGTCAGTGTGCTGCCAAGCAATGAGATTTCTGACTACTAAGGGAGTCGTAACGATCAAGAGCTATACCAAGGAATCTTGGGAATGTTACAACCGAGTTATAAATGTTGCACAGAAATGGCCGCACCTAAGGACAATGATTATCGCAGAATCTAAGCCAAACCCCAGACCACTCGAGGATACCATAGATCATCGCATCCATAGAGAAGAGCTCGCAGCAGGGTCAACAGAAGAATTACGAGAGATAAAGGTCAGCGAGGAAGACCCAACTTGTGTACTGAAGGTCGGTAACGGCTTGAGCGGCAAGGTGGTTGACAATCTAGAGAGCTTCCTAAAGAAAAACCTCGACGTGTTCGTGTGGGTGCATGCAAACATGGTAGGGATCAGTCCTGAGATAATGTGCCACAAGTTGAACCTCGATCCTAAAGCTCGGCCGATAAGGCAGAAAAGAAGATCTATGGATGCAGAGCGCTCCAAAGTGCTCAAGAAAGAAGTCGATAAACTCTTGAACATCAACCTTATCAGGGAAGTTAAATACCCAGATTGGCTTGCCAACCTGGTCCTAGTCAAAAATTCGAATGGCAAATGACGGACTTGCGTCGACTTTACAGATCTAGATAAAGCTTATCCGAAAGACAGCTTTCCGCTTCCACGGATCAATCAGCTAGTAAATGCAACAACTGTGAATGCACTACTTAGCTTTATGGATGCATACTCGGGATACAATCAAATCTCGATGTATTAGCCCAATGAGGAGCATACCTCCTTTATTACTGACTGCGGAATTTATTGTTACAAGGTCATGCCATTTGGACTCAAGAATGTTGGGGCGACTTACCAGCGCCTAATGAACAATATGTTTACCAACCAAATTAGGGAGACTATGGAAGTTTATATCGACAATATGCTCATGAGCTCGTCAAGTCTAAGGTCACTGAAAGC